TGTAATTTTGTATAATTTTTTTAAAAACATCCAAGCGTGTGAAGTCTCAGATCTTTGGTCTTCCTTTATTATGTGGGTTTCTGTGGAGCTTAGTTACGCCTCTGAGTAGCCTATATATATATAATTATTAAATTATTTAGAATTATAAGATTTTTGTCCCAAGTCTGCTGTTCACTACAGAAAAAACATGAGCGATGTAAGCTTTGTAACTGTTAATCACTTAAGACGTAAGACTATAAAGCGCAATAATTGCAATTTGTCACGTAAAAAATAGTCTATATAAATTTAGTTTTTTTTTCCAATTATTAATAATGGATAATGCCAGAAACTCTGATAGTTATAAGCCGTATTCAATAACGTATGTTCACATAAAATATCAATAAATAACTTTATCACTTCACTATTCATATATTACTAGCGGAGTAATTAATCATGCAATGATATTAATTAAATTTAATGTTTTATAATTAGTACGCATCATGTATAAAACTGCAATAAATGCTGCAAGTAATTGTTTTCGTATATGCAATTTGATATATATATTAAATTTAATTAATTTAAAAATAATATATGACAAATAAGAAAAATAAGATATAATAAATATTTACGATAATCTAAATAAAGTAATTTGATTTTTAAGATTTTGAAAATTTCCAATGCATATAGACACAATTAATTGCACATGAAGCATATGAATTATGTCAATTAATCAGTTATTACCCTTATATCATGCAATCAAATTAATTGCATCATATATGTAACTGAATTAACTGTAAATTATGTATCGTATTATAACACTATGATACATAAGTCTGTAAAACTGCAATAATTATACTTTTACAGACCTTGTGTATAATTGCAACGTACTGTACAGTACGTTAAATTGTAATTGAGATAAAGATGAAATCCTAACAATAAAAGTACAACAAAAAGATAATATATATAAACTGTCTTCCAACAATACAATTAAATGTATTGCATTACATAATTTTTGCACGTTGAATGACATTAATTAATACGAATAAATCTATATTAAATACTCAGCAATCAAATCTAATATTAATTATTTAAAAATAATAAGATTTTATTTACATAATTCCTGGAGAATTACTAATTTAAATTTCTCTTTCCTGCCAAATTGAGATATTATCCCATGCCCTAAAGAGAAAGAGACTATTCTTTACATTAATAATTGTAATACCAGCATCATGAATGGTACATTAAAATAACCCAAAACAAACCCTAACCTGACCTCCATAAGAGCGACATCAGTCAGGATTAAACGATGTGATAAATACAGGATAACAGATAAGAAGATGAAGCAAGCCATGCAAGGCATCACATCTTTGTCTTATGGATAATTTATGGCAGAGGAGATAAATTAACCTAGATATTGCAATAGCATGAATTACTGCATACAATTATTGCATATTAAGTCATTTTATAAATATCAGGTAAATCGATGCACGTTTCGTTCTCTGTCTTTTGTACAGGGCTCAAACAGTCGAGCCAAATTGCCGTGATCGAGAAATAAAATTACGAAAGCCGAATATAACTCTATAAAAATATGCTTCGAGTATAATTCGGAAATCTAATCTCTTCTCTGTTTAAATTTATCAAATTTCTCAAAAGTCAGACAGAATGAATATTTACAACGTCTCTTTCATAAATGACTTTACTCTGTGTTGACAGATGGAAGGATAGATGCAACGTTTGATTTACTTTTTGCACTACGAAATCCACAGATTATAGTAATCTAGATTTATAGATGGTATAATATTATTTCTCAATAGTGCGCTCTTCGTCACAATAACGTCCATTAGTACGTTGCTTCTGCTCTGGATAATATCACAAATAAAATATCTCTGAATGCTTAATTCGAAAGTACGAGATAAAGTTTGTTTAGAAGAAAAAGATGAGGTTTATACAGCAAACATAATTACTAAGGATATAGGGACAATGTTTATCTTCTTCGTTGGTTAATTACGAGATAGATCAAATTAGTTGACATTTTTACTATAGATCACGTTATGTAACTACAGCGATTTTGTTAACTCTTCTTGCACAGAAAATAACACGAAAATTATATTTTTTCTTGGGTATTTCTTATAATCTTGATTTAGACGAGATTAAGCATTACTCTCGCGTATTTATTCCCTAAAATTTTTAATGGAATTATACGTTTAAGTTATTAATAAAATCCGCGCTGCGAAGTTAATAGAATTATGTTTAATCTCAAAATGTCTTGTAAAATTTAACAAAATTATAGCAAATTTAAAATAAACTATGCTCTAGTTTATTTTAATTATTCTACTACAGTAACTATTATCTACTTTTAATTAAACTTTACAATAAAGTTGTTAATATTATTATTTTTAATTAAAAAAAAATACGCTGCAAAACTAAGAAATACTTACTATGAAGTGGATAAAATTAAATATTGATTTAACTTTTAAAAAATCATAAATAAAACCTCGAATAAAAATTTTCTACAATTTTAAAGTTGCATTTTAGATAAAACCGTAATCAAAATTTAATAAATCTTGATCGAATATTACTTAATTTTTGATCAAATCTAATTAAATTTTCGATCAGATAAATCATCTCATTATTAAATCTCAATTTTTTTTTTTTATATGTTTAAATTATAAAACAAGGACTTACACAAAGAAAAAAAAAATGAGGGAACGAAAGAAAGAAAATTAATGGAATCTATATAAGTCGAACTAAAGCTTTTCTATTCTTCTTGTATAAAGATATTTTTAAAACTGAAGACGCCTTGAGGGCTGTTTTTTTTTCTTCTCTTGACTTTCTTAGTTTTGAGGAGCTGTTAAAAGCTGAGTCGCTAGTCTTATTTTTATTTGCACGATACATATATGTTTTAATCTATTTTGACAGTTTGTATTCCCGTAAACTTCTACTAACGTCTACTTATAGATAAGAGAGAAAGCGAAATAAAAGAGAAAAGAGCTTAAATATATTTCGTCAAAGATGGTATTGTTGTATCGTTTATCTAGAAAATAAAGTGACAACAAACTTTCATAACCGTTATCGTTACATTAGAAAATCAATCCAACATTTGTTAACGTACAATATAATAAAATTAACATATTAATGATTTTAGAATATCAAATTTTTGATCAATATTTAATGTATAAAGTTTATAAAACTGGATTGGATCGTCTTTACAATTAATACACACACACTCTCTCTCTTCAACAAAATTTAAATTGTTATTTAGTTTGTCACTGTTAAATTAATTGGAAGATGCTTACGGGGAACGAAGAAAAATATTTATGTAAATAAAGAACGAATTTCACTTTATACAATTAATTTGTACCGTTTTGTAATTAAACAAAGGATATTGAAGTTAATTCTACTTTTCTGTTTTAATTTTTTTTTTACTTGCGAATTTAATTTAATTTTTATTTTGAATCTGTTCTTTCAGAAATAATTTAAAATAATGTAGAAATTTTTTCTTTTTTTTGTAATTTCAAAATTAGTTATGTAGAAAATAAAGAAGAAGTCTTTACAATTAGATTCTCATAATTTATAGGGTACTGGAAAATCGATTGTATGCTTTGCCACTCGGATTTACAGCTTTAAAAATCAATTATACACATTTAGATTAAATATATAAAAATTTGTATTTTCTGGTTCGGGATGTAAGCCTAAATAGAAAAATTAAATAAATTTATGCACTGATACAGGTTGTGATCTTAGGAAATCCTACTTATAAGTTTATGTAAAGCCCGTATCACACAATATTTGATATTGTGCAAGGTCTAGAATCTTGGTTTCCAAGTATGGGACAAAGATCGAATATAGATAAGCATATATTTGTGTATGTCTGAGGCTCTAAGCGCGAGATTCTAGACGAAGTCTAGTATGCACTAAATTCATTACTAGAAACAATATAAATATCGAGCATTGTGTAATTACAAAAATAAACTGGCAGAAAAAAATAGCACTATAAAAATCAAAAAATACGTGTATAATTGCAGATTATGTGTGTTAAAATAACATATGACAAATATTCTCTTAATAATTTTGTTTCATTTGTACTGTACAGTACACACTTTAAAACTATTATAATGTTTATTATTATAAATTTAAGATTTAGTTTCAAATCTTAGATTTCAGATTTAATTACAACAAAAGTATTTACAATTGATTCTAAAAAAATATATTTACAATTCATTCTATTTCATAAAAATTTAACTGAAAATATTGTGAAAAATTTACATAAAAAGTTTTTAAAAACAATATTTTTACATTATATTATACAAATATTATAAAATTCTAAATAATAAAATTAGTATTTATTATATAGAAATTATAATGCTTATATATGTAACTGAAATTCTATTAGACTTTAGGCTAATTTTTAAAATCTAACAATAGCTATGTAAAGATTTTTTACAAAAAAAAAAAACAATTTAAAATTCATATTTTTATAATTTCCAATTACAGATAACTTATCAAAATATTTTAAAATTTATATGTTTACAATATGTAATTACAAAATATTTATAATTTTATGTAGCTAATAGTTCTCATGGAGTATAATTTCGAATAGTGTAGAATTTTGACGGGGTTTCTACAAAAATAACACAGCTACGCTAAACAAATTCGGATTCGGTTATAACACAGTACATAAATATTTATATAATATAACTTAGAAAACTCTAAGCGAAAAAAATCTATTCTAAAGTTTTGACTCAAGACTACGATTCTACTCTTTAAACTCATTTCTTTTTAAATTCGATTTTGCAATTTCCAACTAAATAAGTGGCTCAAGAAAGTTAAAAATTCGGAAAACGACTGTTTACTTCAAATAAAACGTTTACGCAGCTTTTTAACGAAGGTCTTAACAGATTAACGAGATTAGTAATCAGAAACAATCGTAATTTTTCCGGTGGTAGAAATACTTTGGAGCATGTGACTAGTGACGTAAGATATTTATCCTATTATAAATAAGCATAGGAGACGATTGTGCTTTCTCGATTTATCTACGAAAAAAGATGACATTCGAAGAACTTCTAGAAGACGCAGGAGGATTCGGTTTATACCAAAAACTTTTAGCCTTTGTGTTCCTTCTCGGTGCCATGAGCACCGCTGGTCTTAATTATTGGACACAGATCTTCATCTTGTTGGAACCAGAACACAACTGTTCGCTTCCAGATGCCAACAATTCTTTGGATGTGATTAACAGAGATTCCTGCCATCTTTATATCCGACCAAACGACACAAACTTGAACGAAACGGTAAAAGTTCGATGTAATTCTGGTTGGGATTACGATTACAACGAACTCTTTCCTACAATGACTAGCGAGGTAAAGCCTTATTTTTTTTTTTTGTTTTATTATTTTAATATAGATTTTTGTAATATTATAAATTTGTAAATAATAGTAATAAAATGTATCTATATAATTTTCAAGCGTAGATAAAGAATTTATTTCGAGGTCCATTAATGTTCTCGACTGCAACTTGCAGCATATTCTTCGCTCGATATCTTTTATTGTGTCGAAAAAAACCCCTTACCAAGTAACCGGGATAGCAGCAACATATTTTTCATTTCCTTCTCTATCAAAAACACACTTGGGATGATTTTTCAAAATGAAAATTAACGCTGAATGTTGCTTTTTTATTTTTTAATGACCATTTCTTTCGCTTTAAACTATTACATTACTCATTTTATTCTTTGATCAGAAATCGATTTATATATATAAAAGTATGTAGGCTATTAGTCCAATTTAAAATTATTATATTTTATAACTACACCGTCAAATATTTATCATAAATTAAATTTAAAACTTTACTGTTTCTGTAATAATATTTATAAATTGAAATTAACTTAATTAATTTTTATGTTCTTATTTTCATATAAAATTATAGCGTTTGTCAATATTTTCCGACTTGTTTTTAGTTTGAAACACTTTTTAAAGAACATAACTCATAGCATAGATTAGAATAATAATTATAGCCTAAGGAGAAATAAGCTAAAGTATTAAAATTTAGCCTAGAATCTAAGGGAAAAATCTAAAGTAGATTTTTAAAATTTTGACTAGATTCTATATTCTAATTTAGGCTATAAATTATTTTATTTTTTGGAAAGGTTTTTAAAAAACAGGCTACTTTTAAAAGGTCTTAAAAAGATCTGTTGTTATATTGAACCCTTTCAAAGTTCGGTGACTGTTTCTTTTAAGAAGAAAGGACCAATATCTTAAAAAATATGTACACTTTTCAAGAAGAAAATCGCAGGCTTTTTATCTTCGAAAGAAGAGAATGACATTCTTAAGCGTATAGGGGTCATTTTAATTAAGGGGACAGAGGAGGTTAATTTTCCAATTTTCCCAAAATTTTACAAATAAAAACATAGGTACCAATTTTGAATTTTCCATTATTATTAATTTATTAATTATTTTATTTATCTGATCTTTTGCTTTTTGTTGTTGCTTTGACTAAATTTGCCCCATTTTTTTTATCCTAATTTGGGGTTTGGAAGAGCAGTTGTCCCTTTGTTCCTCCGACTCGTAAGCCCATGATATTACAGTTGAAAAACAATTGCCTAAATCTACTATATAAATTGTTTTCGTATGTTTATTGTTTATATTTTAATTGATGCTTGAAAGTTTTGAAAATGCATAAAGACTATGTTTAAATATATCACTCTAAATAAAGTACTGTATAAACAATTATATTATAAACCATATTTTTTTATTTTTTTAATTTACTTAGAATAAGAATTTGATCTTAGAAATTATATATTTTGCCACAGTTACACATATTGGGATTAAGTCTTGCAATTACGTATTCAAAGAAATCAAGTTCGAATATACGTTTATAGTATATACTGTATTACAATAGATTATAGATAATATTATATAGGAATAGAAATCTTTTATCATTAATACAAATATGAATAGAATAACAATATCGCAATTCATTATAAAATCCCTATAAAAATTTCTAAATAAATATTTTTCGGTGATTCTTAATGTTTGATTATGTAACATTATTCGATACTATATTTATAGGCCTATACAGTGTGCTTTAACATTAAAGATATGAATAAACAAAATTAATAATAATAATTGATATAAATTTAAAAGATTTTTTAATCAAGTAATTAGAAATTTCCTGCAATAAATAATTAATATATTTTTCTTTAAAAATACTCTTAGAAAATTTTTGTAATGAATAATATTCATTGATTGGTATTGTTTTTCAAAATAGATGTCAGACAATGTAACATTATCAAGATGTGCATCTAATGTTCAGAGCATCGAGAGCTTGTATGGGACCTGAATAGAGCGGGCCTTTTTTCTTTTTTTTTCTTTTTTTTTGAACAAATGAAATACATGGAATGTTTTTAATTAAATATTTTACTTTTTGTTAGTAAACATAATATAAATTTATAAGAATAAGAATCACTATAAGCTTGTAAGTTTTCTCCGGCCTGGGGAAAAATTCCCAATTTCCCCTCTCGATGGCCCTTCTTACGTTGACTTTTATACGGGTTTTATTACGGGGTTTTATTACGGGTTCGAAAGCATTATCACTCAATACAATGGCGATCTAGGATTTTGAGAAGATGCTGCTCAAGATACATTCGGGAGAGCCAAGGCACCAGCCTCTATAGTTATTTTTCGGAGAATGTTGCTTATAACCTTAGAATTACTTTACTTACTTAATTTTAAGTAATTGAAGTCACGCGATATACGTTATTATTTTTATTTTTATTTTAAAGTTAACAAAAATGATTTCTTAGTTATTAAGGAGCTGCAGCTCCATAAGCACCCTCCCGGATACCTCTATATAAAGTGAGTGATAATGTTAAACACCGAAGAAATTAATAGACAAAGTTGATATAGATTTAAGTTTCAAATTGTGAAATTGAATTAAAAAGTTAGAAAAATAATGAATGCTTTTTTTTAAATTTAAAAGAAATCCACAACAGGATTTTTTAAATATTTTTTTCTTGAAAGTAGGAATGGAGTATTCTTCACATAACTATACAAAACACGTAAACATAGAGGTTGCGCCTTCCACATCAGACAACCGTCACTGATTTAGGCTACCAATTGACAAACAACGATTTGGTAAGAGCGTGACCTATATCCCGAATTTAAGTAAAAATATCTTTTTCGTTGAAAACTCTGGCATGCTTTTTTTTTTTTACTTTAAAGAAAAATAATTCAAGCTTTGAATATTTAAATAGAAAAGAAAGGCTTCTCGGAATACAAAGATAATCGAATGCCTTCGGTATGACGTGTTTTGTTTGATAATCTGAATATTGATGAAGATCGTGGTGCCATCTAGGAACAAATTTTAATAACAAGAAAACATTTTTCCCAGTTATCGCGCTACTCGTTTAACCGTGCTAAGAAAATTCGATCGATGTAACGGAATTAATAATTCACCGATAAGAATTTTTTAATTTTTTTTTTTAATAGGAAAGATATATTCGCCCAGTAAAGGGAGAGTTATAAAGGCGCAACTTGTATAATTAAATGCAATGGATTTAGTCTTAAAATCGAGGATTTTATTAATTTTAACCGTTTTTATATTAAATTTTACGCTTAAAAACATTAAAAAAATAATGCTAAATTTATATTTTTTAACAATTTATTTCGATTTCTTCAATAAGAAAGTGTTACTCTCAATGTTGGAGACGTGGTAGAGATGACATCCTACGCTCAAGAAATTAATTTTAAAACGTTTTATAAAAAAAAATTTCCTCTTAAAATGTATGAAAATAATAAAATATATATATATTTAATATTTTATTTTGATTTTTCAATAAGAAAGACACACTCGGGCTACGTGGGAGATATAACGGAAGGGGATATTTTCGCGCGATTTACTGAGAAAATTGTAAATTTTTTCGCTAAAAGAATAGAAATTCCCTTAAAAAATTGCGTTCTTTTCCTAAATATTTCTATAAATAACAGTTTGGCTGCATTTTTAAAGCAAACATTTAGCAAGGTTGGCTTGTTCTTCAGTGTCAATAGCAATGTTCTGTAGGGAAAAAATAAGAAAAAAAAAGGGAAAAAAAGAATAAAGAGAGGGGAAAAAGGGAAGAAAAGAATAAAAAAAAAGGTAAGTCTCTAGCCTCAATGATAGAATTCAATACAGAAACTGTGGAAATTGTCATGAAACAAAGATTTAAGACCGAAACGAAATTGTTTTTTTTTTCAACTATATTTACAGGGGGAAAAAACAATTTCAAAGCCGAGAATAATTTATTGTTTTCTTCCATTTAAAAAAATATATAGGCCTATATATATTAAAACTAATTATCATTATTTTTTTTAAAATTTTAATTATGATTAAACTTCAGTAAAGATAATTAAAATTTTAATTACTTTCGCCGCATAAATGCATTTAAAACTTGAAATTAAATTTGCTTTACAAAGAAATGTGTCAACAGAAAATCTATAAATATAATTAATTAATTAATTCGCTATTTATTTAAATTTTTAATAATTAAAATCTTTTATAAATTATTTAATTATTTATTTTAATTTATCTTTTTTTTCTTCTTCTTTTTGGAGAAATTATAACGATTTTTACAAGGTGAAGATGCTGAGACGAGATAAAATGTAGGATTTAAAAATATAAATTATATTTCTAAGAAAAAATTTAATTGATAAGTGAATAGATTACAGTTAAATTTAAATATATTCAACTAATTTTTACTATTTTATATCCTGAAATTTGATTCGTGCAGCTATTAATAGACAGGTATGAGCGTGTGATTGAGAGTGTATATGTGTAGTTTTTCTCTTCCTCTACCAAGAATTCCACTGAAATTTCTCATATTAAATATAATTATCGTCATTACTGAATAATTAAATAATAAAATTACCTTAAAATTTAAATAAAATCCCATTATTATACTCTTAAATCGGTTTATTTAGCTAAAGATAATGCGGATAATAGCACGAATTTATGAATATTTTTGATGGAAAAAACAGAGGAAAAAAACGTAAATTTTTACGTCTTATAAACTATAATTTGGTTAAATATATATATTTTTAACTAATTATATAAGTTTTAAGCCATTAAAACTTAATAAATCCGAGTATAACGAGCAAGCAACTCGATTAAAAAATGTTCATCTTTAATCACTTACAGAGCTTGTTTTTTGTTTATTTAATTAATATTTTATTGTTTAAATAATATTTTAAACAATTAAACTTGTAATATTTTTAGTTATTATAAGAATTATACGGAAATTTTTCANAATGCTGAAAATGTCTGAAAATGAAGCTGTTGTGAATATTTATTACGATAAAAAATTTACAAGATCTGCCAAAATAATTTTTAAATTTTTTGGAGAATTTCTAACTTTAAATAAATCGATTGAAGCATCGTTGAAAAAAGAGAACAGGAAGGAAAAAAATTGTGTCCTTTTAAAATATGGTTAATTTTAGAAGCCAAAACAAAGCTCTCTCGGTGATACACTTTTTAAATAAACTAACTTATCATTAAATTTATTAGAGTATATAAAATAAAATGTTTAATATAATAATTATAGTAATACATCTTTTTGATTTCTTTTTTTAAATTTAAATGTTTTAAGGCTTTTAACCGAGACAACTAAAAATATCTCTGAGGAACAAAGCTAGAAATATTCTACAGTAGGTCCCATAAGAAAGAGAAAATCTCACAACAGATCTTTTGCTTTTACTAATGAATAATGCAATCCACACATTTTGCTTTAGGCTTCTTGATATATCTAGTCTTATATATGCTACCAACTAACTCAACTACATATAAAAGAATTAATTTACAGTCCATCACAACATTTTCTTATAAATGTAAGTCTAATCTTTCTTTAATATATTACGTAATTAAGCTAAAATCAACACTTTAAAAAAATAATAAACAAAACTTTTTGCAATACAATTTTCAAAGCCCATAAGGATAAACTTAATTAAACATACCAGAGAGAAATGTATTAAATCANATTCATCTCTCTTTAAGTTTCTATATACAGTATATACATGCATATAAGTGTGTGTGTATATATACATTAAAGTGTATATATAATATTACTATCGTATCAGAATTTAATTAAACGTTTCGTTATAAAAATCAGAGAGCCTTTGGAAATAGAAACAAACAAAAAAAAAAGATTTTTTTAAAGATAATTGTCAAAATGTCTAGAAACAATCGAACGTAAGTAAAGATAGTTAAGTTAACGATTCCAATTTACTTTTCCTATTTATCCATCTATTTAATAGTTTAATTGCGACATTTCTGCTCTCTTTAATTCGATTCATTCATCAATTTTAATCGTATTGTTCATTAATTACATCTATCTGTTTCAAAATCGATATAAATCACTAAGGTGTCTTTATAACTAATTTCGTAGTTATAATAGTGTTACCTTATCATAGATATTCAACTTTGATTATTTCCCGCATTTCGAAGCGTAAGTTTTTTTCTTTTATGTTGACTTTATATTAAGTAGTCTAGTGTGGGTTCCACGTGACTTTCTCCATAATTTATGTGCCGTTATTTATTGCCTTCGCGTCACGTCGCGTCGCATCGCGAAGAATTTATCGCGATGGATGCCGTAATATTTTTTTAATTAGCGATTTCTTCTATTTATACGATTTAAACTGAATGAAAGTATTGATTTTTTTTGTTTCTTTCGTCTTATAATGGATACATTAAATTAGTTACAAGGAAAGGTACTAGTATATATGTAAGAGTATTTGTATGTATATATATGTTGAAAGAGCTCTAAAGTAGTCAAATAGTATTCAGAACACTCAAAACTTATGTTTCAGCTGAAATCTCGACATCGATTTTTTTCCCACGAAAACAATACTTTCCCATATACCGCGTTTTATGGAGAAAGTCAAAAGAAAAGTAAGAGAAGGAAGCCGTTTAAATTCGAATTTTTTCGAAACTCCGGTAATGGTAATCAACTCATTTTTCACTCGATGAGATCATATGGTTCCATGAGATCTTTATGTAACTGCGGAACGACTTTATAAATCATCCGTCAACTATTACGTCAGAAACGACAATACGGCTCTTAAACTAAAATCACTTCATCTAAAACCATTTTTTAGACCCCTAAAATCAAACCTATATCTAACAAATTGCTTTTAAAAAGTCATTATTTTACGATAACAATCGTTTTTATCCATTACTTACTGATTTGCTCTTGTAGGTTCCTGATAAAAAAAAAGAAAGAAGAAAGGAAAAATGTTCACCAAAAAGCCATAACTAAAAGCGAAAGCGTACTACAGAATACAAAATAATAAAGTGACAGAAACAGAACGTTCGTTTGTTGAATGAACAATTCTTTATTGCATTAAGCGTAATTAATACAGGACAATTATCTTTTATATCCGTTTGATATGCATTCTGATTCTTCTGAGTAATCCGTGAGGGATTATACATTACTAAAGCTTCTTCTAGTTGCTTTTTAATCCGTTAATTTTGGCGATAATCCCCAGATTAGAAAAGGTGTGATCCCGTTTATATTAGTTTGAAAACTTCAAACGTTTTGACGTAAATCTTACAGCTTCTTGCATGGCTAGCTTAATTGTTATTTCTCTGTGTCTAGACGGGAGAATTTGTAATTTGTTGACGTAATTTGGTGACAAGAGTCGACTCGGTCTTATTGCCACTTTTATTTATGCAACGTACATACTCTTGAAGGGATTTAAACGAATCATTTAAATAAATCTCTCCACGGGATTCGTTGTTATAAAACAATAATTAAATTTTGATTAAAACATTTTTAATTTAGTTAATTGCATTTTATTTTATTTACTTTTATTTATTTTTAGCAAAATTGGGTGTGTGAAGAGAATTGGCGAGTGTATTTAACTCATATGGCTTTCTGGATCGGTTCCGTTGTGGGATTTTTTATATCCGGGATTATATCCGATAGGTAAGTTTAAACGATAAAACGAAGGAATTCTAATTTATGTAAATTACTTAAAATTATCTTTAATAGGTTTGGAAGAAGAAGAACAATTATCATTTTAGAATTAGTTTCCATCGTTTCTAATGTGTTATCTATATTTATGACTAATCACTTGACATTTTCTGCCGCTCGTTTCTTGACTGGGTTGACTGTATTGACATCATCTACGTTGGCGTTTCTCTTGAGTAATTATTCATTTATTAAATTTAATTGATATTAACTGATATATGAGGTTTCGCTTCTCGTTTAAGCCATCGAATACACTGGTGTATCTCAGAGAACAATGATAGGGATGTTACAAGGAGTCGGATGGACGATAACAGCTGCTGTATCACCTTGGATATTGTACTACGTCAGAAACTGGAGAAAAATGCTATTCATCTGCTCGGTTCCTAATGTATTAATGATATTTATGCTTTGGTGAGATGTTTTTGTTTTACTTTTGCAGGCGATTGATGATGTTTTCCTATATCCGACCCTATTGAATGTTTTACTTTTAACGTTATTAGGTGGGTTCCCGAATCGGCTAGTTGGCTGTTAACTAGAGGGAAGAAGGATGAGGCTATTAAAATATTAAATCGAATTTCTGCCGTTAATAAGAGGAAACTGGATAAAGATCATTTTAAACGGATTCTGGTAAATATCTAATTAAAGAAAATAATGAATTTTTCTATTTGATGTATTTTTATGTATTAATATGATTTATTTACCTTTCAGAGCAGGAAGAATTCCCATGAAAAAAAAGAAGAGGAGGATTCTAAAGAAATTTTTTCGTTAATAATAAAAGTGATACGTACTAAATATTTAAGGAAGAACCTCTTTCTTCTGCTAATATTGTGGTAGATATATTAATATTCTAGAGTAATGTTTGTAAATTTATCAAGAAAATTGTAATAAAAACAAACAATTTAAAATTTTTGATCGATAAATTTCGTTACTGCATAAATTTAAATTTATTTACAGGTTTTTTGTATCTCTTTGCTACAACGGAAACACTTTAGAAACCATCAATTTGCATTTCAACGTATATTTAGCCTTTTCTATAGGAGCTATAGTAGAACTAGCTGCTAACGTGTTCTTCTTTGTTACGGCCGAAAAATTTGGTCGAAGATGGGCCAACTTTATCAGTAACATCGTAGGAACCGTTGCTGCGATTTCCACGTTGGCATTGCCTAAAGGTAAACTGAAAAGCGATAATTTACAAATGAAATCATTTATAATTAATTTATTGCACTTCTCATTTCAGAGCAAGGTTTGTTAGAATTCATATGTGTAATGGTGTTAAGATTTGCTTACGCTTGGTCTTACGATGTTACACTTCAGTACGGTACCGAACTATTGCCAACAGCTATAAGAGGAAGAGGTGTAGCAGTTCAGTTAATGATCGGCGATATCGGAAACTGCATCTCGCCTTGCATCGTCTATTTGGTGAGTTAATCGTCGATTGCTTTCAAACATTAAAAAACAGAATCCGATTAAATTTTACTAATTTAACTTTCAGAACTACTTCAATGCTCATTATCCTCTACTAGTTTTTGGTACACTCTCCATCGGTTCGGCAATTATAGCGTTGGTTCTACCAGAAACTGCCGATCAACCCCTTCCACAAACCATAGAAGATGGTAGCAAATTTGGTATTGGGCAACCATTTTTCCTCTGCCCATTTCTGGAAAAGAGAAAGTAAAGAAACATTTTTTTAAGGTTTTGAATTTTTTAACACATCTGAAACCATTAAACGCTTTTTTTTCCAGAAAGAAAAAAATGGAATCTTTAGAATGGAGGGAAATGAAAACAAAGACAATTTCAACAACAGAACGATCTCTTCACATGTAAAAATCCTATTTTTATTTATGTCCTTCTGCTTTAATCATCAAATAAATATTGATACGTTACAGTAATTACTACAGATATATACGGGTTTAATTTCATTAAGTGATTATCGGTATTGAAGATATTTTAGTAATTCACTTCATCAAATGAGTAGTTTGCAAATTACATTTCTCCAACAGCATTATTAATGATATGACAAGAATTTAGCTTATCAAAGGGAAACGAAGATGCCAAATCTGGGCGCAAACTATTGTCCAGGTGTTAGAAATTAAACTCAATTTTCGTACGATCGTGAGTAATTTTATCTTAAAGAAACTCAAATAAAAAAATTATATATTTAATTTTTACTGGCAAAAATTATAGAAACAAACAAATAACATTATGTCTGATTTTAAATATTTGTAAAGTTTCAATAAACAATTCACGCTTCGATAAATAATAAAAATTTAAATATTCAAACTCATCGAACAGTAAAATAATCTTGTTTCTGTCTTGTATATTTAAACAATTAGATTTATAAAAAAATACACGAGAAGGACAAATCATTCTAGTGGAAGATTCCAAAGACATCTATTCTTTACGTGTTAAAGAATATTATAGAACGAAAACGAGTTAATTTCTGCGTGAATGGTATAATGGCATTAATTAAACAAGTCACGCAAAGAAGAAAGCAAGACAATTTTAATGACACTATTGTCACAACTAACACTGGAAAATTTTGTGAAATATAACAAGGAAAGGTTGTTTTTTAATTTATTTTATTTTTTGGTCCGGTTAGTAACTGTGTTTCGGTGGTTGTGCCACTTTCCCTTCTCCACCTTTTTTTTGATCCTCTAAAATCTACCGAAGAGAGTTAAGCAGGAAAAAAACTCGTTTATAGTATCCATATGCGGGCACAGTTCGACTTTTGTTCACTCAGCTTGATTCTGTACAGTGTGAACTCTTATAGAGAATGACCGCAGTCGAGTTTTAAGTCGGCATCCAAAACACAATTACTGCATTTATCGTATGGGTTATTTACATATCAGACTGCCTACATTACAAAATAACGAGGCAAAGAAATAAACAGTGCTAGAATAACTCCCCAGTTGGTGGTAACTCCTGTCCGGAGATGTTATTATAAAGGTGATTGTCACTGTGTCGTCAATTCTCCAGCGATGTTACCGAAAATTTATTATAACCAGTAACATAGTCCAGCAATGTAATAACCTGGATATTCCACCGTTTTGTACTGCCGGAAAAAAAAAGAAAAAAATCAATTTTTTAAACAAAAAATATAAAATTATCATTAATTAACTTATTAAAAATTATATATTTTTTTCTTATTAAGAGTTTATACGCCGCTAAAATCTGTAAAATTGTGTAACGGAACTTAAAACTCGCGCATGTTAAAGTCGTTACAAATGTTTTATGATCAATAAACTTCTACCGTTCTCTATAGTTTTAAATAATGTTGATTATCGAATTAAAAGAACTTTATGGGTAAATAAAAACTTACCAGATTCTGTATCGTCTGCGTGTAGACCCGATATTTGTTGGTAACCGAGCAGAATTTTCTTTTCTGTGATCATGTTAATCACTTTTAGTAATGTAGCTGTACATTTTAGACGTAATTCGTCTGTGCGAAAATGAAGTTGTTGAACACGAAACCTTAAACCTAGAACAGCGTAAGGTGAACCGTCTGGAAGCGAATATTCCATTATATATTCTGGCTTTACCTACAACGAAATTACATTAAATTAATCTTTGAAATGTTTGCTTTAACATTTAACTAACTAAACTACATAGCCCAAAAATGGCAATTAAGTTTGTATCTAGTTAAAATGAACTGTTTACTTACTTACTAGCCATTTTTAAAGAATTGTTTTTGTTTAATGTATAATTCCATTTAATTACCTCCCATAAAAATAAAATTTTTTATTAATTAATGATGATTTAGAGACTTAAATTAAATGTTTCAAAATTGTTAAATGTGATTTTTATTAACAGTTAACTTTTTAAAACAGTTTTCTCCCTCCCTTTTTTTTTCTATAAAATGAACAGCCTAATAAAGATACCTAGAATATTTTGATTTAATGATGTGCAATATCTATTATCATTGAATTATGAGGCAGGTAAAAAACCTTTATCAAAAGTTAATTAACAGGAACTCAATTTGTGAGAAAATTGATTTTTCCCCCTTGTTATGTTAAGCAAAATTGCTGTGTCTTACATCTCTCTCTCTCTCTGTTTTTTTTTTTTTTTTTTTTTT